GAGCCAAAGTCTTGTTGGCTAGATATAGATAAAAAGAGATACGAAAGAATAATGGTTGAGGGGAATCGATCCCTGACTTAGACCAACATAATTCTGAAGTTCGTAAATTAAGATAGACTTGTTTGCGTCCAAAAGGGTTTAATGTCGCTTTCACCGTGAAGACAAAGGAATCCTCCGTCTGAAAACTGCTTTTATGGCTTTGTGTGATTTGAGCTAGACGCAAATATTTTTACATCGATGACCTATTTCTCACGGCATCATTTGGACACACAAATTTGTCTTATTTTCTATGTATCTCGAAAGGCCTTATCTAATCTTTTCCCTCTATAAGTTTATATGTTTCTTGATATTGCTTTTGTATTTTTTTTTTAAGCTATGATTGGTTCACTAAAATAAGATCTTACAAATCTTTCATAGAGACTTTTCTTCTATTAAGAGTGAGCCAATAAATCATCTACAACATAGCTATTAACCTAAGACAAAGTCAAGTCAACTGAAACCGACGAATTGATGCAAGACTTTCCAAGTCAAGAGCTTGACAAATGAATGCTTTTTTGAGTTTTTCTATTTAAGAGACACGAAGCCACAAAAACATTGCATAGCCTATTACTCCACCAAACAAAAAAAATGGTCGTTCGAAAGCATTGTTATCTCTTTTGCTTGATTCCCCTCCTACTCTTCACTCTTGCTTCTCCTACGCTTTACCATCGTCGCCACGACCAGAGGGATGCTCTTTTGGAATTGAAAGACGAGTTTCCGATTCTCCGGCATAACTCAAGTGCTAATCATACATGGTTAAGTTCATGGAAAAAAGAGAGTGATTGCTGTTCTTGGGAACGTGTTACGTGTGATACTAAATCCGGCCAGGTTATTTCACTTGACCTTCACTCTATTTCTCTCAACAACTCTTTGAAATCTACTAGTGCTCTTTTTAAACTCCAATATCTTCAAGACCTATCCCTTTACAAATGCAATCTCTATGGAGAGATTCCTTCTTCATTAGGAAACCGTTCTCGTCTCACAAATCTTAACCTTGTTTATAATCATTTACAAGATCAAGTTCCTGCTTCAATCGGAAACCTAACCCAACTAAAATATCTCATCCTTGCCCAAAACAATTTTAGTGGCACTATTCCCCTTTCTTTTGCCAACTTAACGAAGCTGATCCTATTTAACCTAGAAAATAATTACTTAGAGTCCACGCTTCCACCTAACATGAGTGGATTCCAAGACTTGGAATATTTTAGTGTGGGTGCAAACTCCTTTGTTGGTCCTTTTCCTAAGTCCTTGTTCACTATTCCTTCGTTAGAAGTGGTTGATTTGGAGGGAAACCAATTCAAGGGACATGTAGAGTTTGGAAATACATCTTCTTCATTGTCTAGGCTTCGTAGTTTATACCTTTCTCATAACCAATTCAATGGCCTTATTCCCGAATCTATATCTCACTTCCTCAATCTCAAAGTGTTACATCTTGGATACAACAATTTTACTGGACCAATCCCCATATCTATATCGAAGTTAGTCAAACTCGAACATCTTGGTCTTTCCAACAATAATTTGGAAGGCCAAGTACCAGGCTGCTTAAGGAGATTGACGACGTTGGACCTATCTCACAATGCTTTCAAGAGTTTTGAGAATTCGTGGGAAGCTTTTAGTGATTCAAAAATTCGAGAGTTGGAGCTCAACTCGAATTCGTTCCAAGGACCATTTCCCCAGTGGATTTGCAAGCTAAGATCAGTACTACTCTTAGAGTTGTCAAACAATCTCTTCAACGGCTCAATTCCTCCATGTATAAGAAATTCCACTAATTTTCTTCAAGTGCTAATTCTACGTAACAACAGTCTTAGCGGAATTCTTCCAGATATATTTACCAACGCGACTAAGTTACTATCACTTGACATTAGCCGCAACCAGTTAGAGGGAAAGCTTCCAAGATCATTGATCAATTGCAAAGCTATGAAATTTCTAAATGTGGAAAGCAACAAAATCAAAGACGAGTTTCCATCTTGGTTAGGATCTTTGGCATCATTAAACATCCTTATCCTTAGATCAAACCAATTCTTTGGGACGTTATATCACCGCAACGTAACAATTGGGTTTCAAAGGCTAAGAGTCATTGATTTATCACATAATGACTTCATTGGAACATTGCCTCCTTTCTATTGGCGTGAAATGACTACATTAACCGGAGAAGATGATGAAATCGAGTTTTATGACAATAATCCGTACATGGACCAAGTTCTGAATTCTACTACTCTATACATTAACTCAATGGAAATGGTGCATAAAGGAGTAAAGTTGGAGTTTGAGCGGATCAACAGAGACTACAAAGCTATAGATTTTTCTGGAAATAGATTTTCTGGAAATATCCCTGAATCTATTGGTTTCTTGAAGAAATTGCGTCTTCTCAACTTGTCAAGTAATGCATTCACAGGCAATATCTCACCATCTTTGGCAAATTTGACGAATCTTGAGGCGTTAGATATATCTCGAAACAAGCTATCGGGTTATATTCCAGAAGAACTTGGCAAGCTCTCCTCTCTATCTTACATGAACTTTTCCAACAACCTTCTTGAAGGTACAATACCACGGGGCACACAGTTTCAAAGGCAAGAATGTTCTTCGTTCTTGGACAACCTCAAACTCTACGGTCTTGAGGAAATTTGTGGAGAGAATCATGTCCCTAATCCTACACCACAACAAACCGATGATTTCTCGGAGCCAGAAGAACAAGTGATCAATTGGATAGCAGCAGCAATAGCCTATGGACCTGGTGTGTTCTGTGGATTGGTGATTGGACATATCTTTGCTTCACATAAACATGAGTGGTTCATGGAAAAGTTTGGTCGAAGCAAGCCAAGAGCAGCTAATAGAAGTACTCATTAAGCCCATCTCTACCAGTTTCGCTAAGCGTTTTGTGAAACATATGTGCTTGTAATGAAATTTACTGTCGTATATGTTCTTCAAAAACTGGGATCGTTTGTGTTTGTAATTTCCTCTTTTATGGTTTCGCAATAAACTTCGTTGGTGGTT